ACTGATTTTTGTATATTAATGTCATATCCTGCAACTTTGCTGAACTTGTATATTAACTCTAATAGTTTTTTGTAGGTTTTCTTAGGGCTTTCTACCTATATAAGATTATTTCATTTGCAAATAGAGATTGTTTTACCTTTTTCTTCCTAATTAGGATGTCTTTTTCCTTCATTTTTCTTCACTAATTGCCCTTCCAGTACAATCCTGAATGGCAGCAGTGAGACCAGATATCCTTGACTTGTTCCTGATCTTAGGGGGAAAGTGTTCAGTCTTTCACCATTAAATATGATGTTGACTGAGGGTTTTTCATAGACACCCTTTGTCAAGTTGAGGAAGTTCCCTTATATCTCTAGTTTGTTGAATATTTTATCATGAAAGAATGTTGGATTTTGTCAAATGGTATTTTCTGCATCTATTGAGATGTTTATGTGTTTTTCCCCTTCATTTATTAATATGCTGTGATATATTGATTTTCATATTTTCAATCAACTTTCCATTCCTAGGATAAATTCCACTTGGTCATGGTGTGCAATCCTCTTTCTATGCTGATCAATTTGGATTGTAAGTATTTTGTTGAGGACTTTTGCATATCTATTTATAAGGGATATTGGTCTGTGGTTTTCTTGTGATCTCTTTGGCCTTGGTATCAAGGTAATATTGGCCTCATAGAATGAGTCATGGAGCATTCGCTCCTCTTCTATTTTTTGGAAGAATTTGAGAAGAACTGGTGTCAAGTATTCTTCAAATGTTCAGGAGAAATCAGTAGGGAAGCCATCTGATCCTTGACTTTTCTTTGTAGGAAGTGTTTCTTGATTACTAATGCAATCTCATCACTGTAGGTCTATTCATGTTTTCTGTTTCTTCCTGAATCAGTTTTGGTGTTTTGTGTCTTTCCGGAAATTAATCGGTTTCATCTAGTTATCTAATATGTTGTCATACAACTGACTAGAGTATTCTCTTATACTCCTTTTTATCTGTAAGTCCAGTATAAATGTCCCCTTTTTCATTCCTGATTTTAGTAACTTGAGTCTACTCTCTTTTCCTTGGTCTATCTAGATATTTGTTAATTTTGTTGATTTTTTTTTCAAAGAACCAGCTTTAGGTATGTTGATTTTTTTGACCTTTTAATTACTTAGAAGCGTGATTTCCATAAATTTATGAATTTCTCAATTTTCTTCCCTTTCTTTTTTTTCCCCCTTCTCTCTCTCTCTCTCTCTCTCTCTCTCCCCGCCCACCCCCTTTCTTTATTTCTTTTGACAGAGTTTTGCTCTTGTCACCCAAGCTGGAGTACAGTACTGTGAACCTGGCTCACTGCAACCTCTGCCTCCCGGGTTCAAGTGATTCTCCTGCCTCAGCCTCCCAAGTAGCTGGAATTACAAGTGTCTGCCACCACACCCAGCCAATTTTTATATTTTTAGTAGTGATGGGGTTTCGCCATGTTGGCCAGGCTTGTCTCAAACTCCTGACCTCAGGTGATCCACCCACCTAGGCCTCCCAAAGTTCTGGGATTATAGGCATGAGCCACTGTGCCCAGCCCCTATTATTGATTTCTAATTTCATTTATTTGTTATTGGAAAAAATACTATGTATGATTTCAGTTGTTTTAATTTTATTGAGGCTTGTTTATGGTCTAACATATGGTCTATCCTGAAGAATGTTTCATGTGCACTTGAGAAAAATGTGTATTCTGCTATTGTTGAATAGAGTGTTCTTTAGGTGTGTTAGGTCTAGCTAGCTTATAATATTGTTCAAGGTTTCTATTTCCTTACTGATCTTCAGTCTAGTTGTTTATGCATTACTGAAAGTGGATACTGAAGTTTCCAATTTTTAACTTTTTTTTTTTTTTTTTGAGATGGAGTATCACTCTGTCACCCAGGCTGGAGTACAGTAGCACGATCTCAGCTCACTGCAAACTCTGCCTCCCAGGTTCCAGTGATTCTCCTCCCTCAGCCTCCTGAGTAGCTGAGACTACAGGTATGTGCCACCATGCCTGGATAATTTTTTGTATTTTTGGTAAAGATGGGGTTTTACCATGTTAGCCAGGATGGTCTCAATCTTTTGACCTTGTGATCCGCCTGCCTTGGCCTCCCAAAGTGCTGGGATTACAGGTGTGAGCCACTGCACCTGGCTATTTTTGACATTTTTGAACTATTTCTCCTTTCTGTCAGTTTGTGCTTCATATATTTTGGGGTTCTGTTGTATATGTTATATATGCTTATAAGTGTCATATTCTTGATGGGTTGATGTTTCATCCTTTTTTGCCTCTAGTAACAACATTTGTTTTCACATTTATTGTGTCTTCTAAGACACTAATATATTAGTATCTCCACACTACAGCTTTATTTTAGTTACTGTTTACATAGAACATCTTTTTCTATCCTTTTACTCTCAATATATTTGTATATTTGACTCTAAAATGAGTCTCCTATACACAGCATATAGCTGAGTCGTTTATATCTATTTTGCTAAAAACCTCCCTTTAGCATTTCATGTAGGGAAAATGTGATAGCAACATACTCTCTGTTTTGTTTATCTGGGAATATCTCAATTTCTTCTTCACTTTTGATGGATAGTTTTGCCAGACATAGAATTTTTGGTAGATGACAGGTTTTTTTCTTTCAGTACTTTAGGTAATCACATCACACTGCCTTCTGGCCACCATGGTTTCTGAGGATAAATCAGCTGTTACTCTTGTATGTGATGAGTTGCTTTTGCTGCTTTCAAGATCTTTTGAAAGTTTGATTATATGTCTAGGTGTAAACATCTCTTTGAGTTTATCCTACTTGGAGTTTGTTGAAATTTTTGGAAGTGTAGGTTAAGTTTTTAATCAATTTTGGGCAATGACTATGAATTTTTCTAATATTCTTTCTGCCCTTCTCTTTCTCTTCTCTCTCCTTCCAGAACTTCTATGATTCTTATATTGGTATGCTTGTTGATTTACCACAGGTCTCTGAGACTATTTGCTTTTCTTAATTTTTTTCTTTCTCTTCCTCAGCTTAGATAACCTCAGTTGATCTATTCATTATGATTCTCTTTCTGCTAACTCAAATCTGTTATTGAGCACTTCTAGTAAAGTTTTCATTTCAGTTATTGTACTTTTCAACTCCAGAATTTCTATTTGTTCACTTGTTATAATTTCTACTTCTTTATAGATAGTCTCTATTTGTGAGATCTCATTCTCATACTCCTCTTTAGTTCTTTAAATATGGTCTCCTCTGAACATATTCAAAATAGCTTAGTTGAAGTTTTTTTCTAGAAAGTCCAACAAATGAGCCTCTTCTGGACATTTCCTATTGATTACTTGTATCCTGAGTGTGAGCCACTCTTTCTTGTTTCTTTGTATGCCTTGTAAATTTTTGTTGAAACTGGACATATTGAATAATACAATATAGCAAGTAAGGGAATCAGATTATCTCACTTTTCTCAGGGTTGTTGTTGCTGATTATGGTAGTAGTTATTGTTTGGCAACTTTTCTGAACTAGTCCCATAAAGCTATATTCTCTGTTGTGTGATGTCATCACAGTCTCTGTTTGGTTAATTTAGTGGTCAGTTAATAACTGCACTGAGATTTCCTTAAATGCCTTGAACCAAAAAAATCTGTCTTTGCTAAGGAGCTTTGTGTATGTTGGGGCACATCTTTAGCACTCAGGCAGGCAGTTACAACTCTGCCTTAGCCTTCACTTTCTGCTTGTGCAGAGCCTCAAGGTCATCCAGAGGTGATAGCATAGGGCCTTTTGGGTCTTTCCTGAGCATGCACAGAGCCCTATGCCATGTGTGTGGCCATCTAGAGTGCAAGAAATATGTCGAGTTTTTCAAAGCCCATGTGAACAACTTTTCCCAGCCTTGTATCTCAAACTTTTTCATTAGTCTGAGGTTTGCCCCAACTGTTATCCATCATCACTAGCAGCAGCAACTGAAACATTTTTCTGTAAATGTTTCAACAAATGCCACTTGTGTGGCAGCTTTGGCACTGGACAAGTTCTGAGTCAAGTTTAAAAAGGGAAGCCTTTCCGGCTGATCTTCCAGGAAGCTACCAGAAAGCCACCAGACAGGTCAAATAATTTTTTGTGAATGAAACCCATTCTGCTCTCTTGAGTGCCTGGATTGTGGACTGTTATTTTTAAGTTGCTGAGCTGGGTAGTGGGAATGTGAGCAAGGAATATTAAAAGATGTTCACAGCTTGAACTGAAAGAGACTGAGATACCACAAAATGATAGGAAACTTTTGGATCTCAAAACTACTAAGGTCAGGAAGCAGGCTGAGAAATCTATTCAACAGATTCATAGACCACTTATTTTTTTATTTTTATTTTATTTTATTTTTTAATTTTTGAGAGACAGAGGCTGAGGGAGACTGAAAGAGGCAGAGACTGAGAGAGACAGAGGCAGAGAGAAAGGGAGACAGAGGGAGAGAGACATACTAAGGAGAGACAGAGACAGAGAGACAGACAGAGACTAGTAGACAGAGACGGACAGAGACTGAGACTGAGAGGCAGGGAGAAAGGGAGACAGAAAGAGACAGAGGCAGAGACTAAGAGAGACTAGTAGAGACAGAGAGAGAGAGACAGAGTTGGCAGTGGTCATAGCCCATTTCTTATGTGCAAGGAAGGATGACTCTTAAATTCAAGAAAAGATGACAAAAAGCCCAGAGGGAAGAGCCAAGAGCTGTAGGGAATTGTTCCCAGGCAGTAGGGCTAAGTAAGAATCAAGAAACTGGCAACATGTGCCCTCCCAGATTTCTGAGTCTATGAAACAATAACTTCTGTGTACTTCATTTTCCACTGTTTTGAATGGATCTAAAGCAGTTTTCCTGCCCTACCATTGTATGCTGGGGGAGGGGGAGAGAAGATTTCTTTTTAGTTCACAGGACTTCACATCAAGAACTGTACTTGAGGAGCTGTATGTGCGGAACCACATCCAAGGAGCCTCAGCTGCATCTGGATGATTTAGATGATGAAATCTTTGACTTCGAACTTGGTTCTGATATTGTTAGAGTCTTTAGGGAGATTTGAATGTATTCTGCATGACGTCGGAAAAGTAAATACTGTGTGACAGACTATGGTTGCTATAAACATGTTTGACACTCTTTCTCTTCCCTTAAATATGAGCCAGCTTTAAGTGACTTGCTTTCTTTTTTTGAGACGGAGTTTCACTCTGTTGGCAGGCTGGAGTGCAATGGCGTGATCTCGGCTCACTGCAACCTCCACCTCCTGGGTTCAAGTGATTCTCCTGCCTCAGCCTCCTGAGTAGCTGGGATTTTAGGCGTACACTACCATGCCCAGCTAATTTTTGTATTTTTAGTAGAGATGGGGTTTCACCATGTTGGCCAGGTTGGTCTCAAACTCTTGACCTTTTGATCACCCTGGCCTCTCAAAGTGCTGGGATTACAGGTGTGAGCCACCGCTCCTGGCCATGACTTGCTTTTAATGAATAGAATAAGATAGAATCTTGATGTATGACTTTTAACTTCTGAGGCTAGATTTTGAAAGGTGACATAACTTTTACTTGGTTCTCTGTCATGAGATGCTTGCTCTTGGAATCTAGCCATGTTGAAAAGAATCTTAGGCTATATTGAGAGGCCATGTGCAAGTGTTCAGCTAATAACCCCAGTTATCATCCTAGCTTACAGCTGGCATCAACTACCAGATAAGTGAGTGAAGGAGATTTCAGATTAATTTCAGCCCCAGCATTCAAGTGGCCTTAGTTAATGCCTAATGGAGCAGAGGTGAGCTGTCCCTCCAAAGGTCATACCAGTTTGCACGTACGTTGGTAAAATATATGTTGTCATTGTTTTTAAGCCACTATATTTGGAGCTGGGTTGTCACACACTAGATAATTGGACAAAGGGGTAGTTTTAATTTTCACTTTCCTGATTAATTATATTGAATGTCTTTTCATATGACAATTGGCCACTTGTATATCTTCTTTTACATATCTTCATTTGTTCAAATTTTTGCTCATTTTAAAATTAAGCCGTTTATTTTATTATTGGTTATGAGAGTTATTTTTTATTCTAGATACAAGTCTTTTTTAAAGAAATATATATTTGAAGACATGTATTCTCCCAGTCTGTGGCTTTCCTTTGCAGTTTCTAATGTTGAGTTTAGAAGAGAAGATGTTTTAATTTTTTTTTGAGATGGAGTTTCGCTCTTGTTACCCGGGCTGGAGTGCAATGGCGCGATCTTGGCTCGCCGCAACCTCTGCCTTCTGGGTTCAAGCAATTCTCCTGCCTAAGCCTCCCAAGTAGCTGGGACTACAGGCGCCCACCACCATGCCCAGCTAATTTTTGTATTTTTAGTAGAGACGGGGTTTCACCTTGTTGACCAGGATGGTCTCGATCTCTTGACCTCATGATCCACCCGCCTCGGCCTCCCAAAGTGCTGGGATTATAGGCATGAGCCACCGCGCCCGACCTAGATGTTTTAAATTTTTATAAATTTATCATCTTTTGAGTGCCTACAATGTTTTATGGACTTACCATATATTACCTTTAATCTTCACAACAACTTTCTTAGAAAGGAATTATCACTGCCATTTTGCATATGATGAAACTAAAGTTCAGAGAGGATAACCTGAGAAAAAGAAATGAAGGAACACAACAAGAAACAGTACCAGGCATCAAACCTAGGTGTGTACGATACCAAAGGGTGGGTGTTTTCCTTCTACCATGCAATAAACCTCAGTAAAACTTACATTTGAAATATCCCTCTTTGGCTTACTAATTATGACCCTGGAGAAGTCACTAAACTTCTAGGAAGAGGCATGTTTCTTTTTCTGTAAGATTAAGAGAATGATAACCATGTCGTAGAAGCCCTATGAGGATGGTTGTGTATGAAAAAGCATCATCAACTGTCTAGTCCCTCATAAATGCCTATTTCTGGATCAAAACTATACTAAAGAATTGGTTTATCCCCATAGTACTTTCCCATAATTTTGGGAGAATTTGATATTTTCTCCTTCCATTTTTACCCCATAAAAAATCTATAAAGATGTTATTTTGCTTCCCCTTTATACATCATATTGCTCTTAAATTTAATATAGGAAAAATGCTGTATTTGGCTGGATGCAGTGGCTCACGCCTGTAATCCCAGCACTTTGGGAGGCCAAAACGGATGGATTGCCTGAGGTCGGGAATTGGAGACCAGCCTGATCAATGTGGAGAAACCCTGTCTCTGCTGAAAATACCAAATTAGCCGGCGTGGTGGCACATGCCTGTAATCCCAGCTACTCAGGAGGCTGAGGCAGAAGAATCGCTTGAACCTGGGAGACAGAGTTGGGATGAGCCGAGATTGTGCCCTTGCACTCCAGCCTGGGCAACAAGAGTGAAACTCCGTCTCAAAAAAAAAAAAAAGAAGTTATATTTTACTCAATATTCTTTCCAAAAATCTAGCCTACTTTCCCCTTATGTTTACAACGAGAAAGTACTCTTAAGAGCTGTTAGTAAACAGACAGCTGGTCTCAAATGACCAAGAAACCACAAGTGAGCACTGACAGGTCTAACATGCCAATGGGCCCTCCTCAGACAGAGTTCACATCCCACCTGTGCCTGGATGGGCCAGAGCAAGGCTGTCACAGCCAGGTCCAACAACACCTGCTTGCTCACAGAAACCCATTACCTCTCCTGCTGTAGGGTGGTGGTGGACTGCGGGTGCTATCGCAGGTCAAAGTTATACTGTGGGTGAGACTCCACAGCTTGAGGAGGTTCCGTATCACGAGTGCAAGAAGACACTGATCCTCGCCAGCATGTGCCCCTTTCTACAGTTATCTTCCTCTAGATTCTGAAAAATGGAAAATACTGCTTGGTGTTAAATTTCTTTGAGGTTAATAAAAAATGCCTGCTTAACTAGACTTGCTTTCTCTCTAAACCTGCTGTTTCCTCAAATCATCCCTGTGCATATAGAATATTTTGGACCAAAAATCCATAAATATTTAGGATTAATGAGTTGAATCCATCATGAAAAAATAATTTATTTTGGATTACTGTTTTTCTAGCATTCTACATTTAGTAAGCCAAGGGACAATTTTAGAGTGCTTTTTACATAACTTATACATTTATCTTGTTTCCAATAGTTTCTAGTTTAAATTGAACCATTTTCCATGAAAATTTTTTAGGTCAAAGATGGTTGAATATCAGCAACTTCATATAGTTTCACCTAATTACATTGTGAATAGAAAGTGATGTTCTCTCCTTAGATAAATGGACATTGGTATTTAGTTCCATATTTATACTTATCCTTTGATGCTTTTTCTTTGGTCCTCCCCAACATAATATTTAATTTTTATTAAGATTTCTGCACCCCTTTCCCTGCCTCACCCCATCATAGCTTAACAATTATTTCAATCTCTCCTAGAAATATCTTATAAACACATTGGTTTTTAATAGTTTAGAAATGTCCCCAAATCACACCACCTTTCAAGCCTAAAAAAGCTGTATGCAGGCTGGGTGTGGTGGCTCATACCTGTAATCCCAGGGTTGTGGGAGGCCAAGGCAGGCAGACTGCCTGACATCAGGAGTTCGAGACCAGCCTGGCCAATATGGTGAAACACCATCTCGACTAAAAAAATACAAAAATTAGCTTGTCATAGTGGTGCATGCCTGTAGTCTCAGCTACTTGGGAGGCTGAGGCAGGAGAATTGCTGGAACCTGGGAGGTGGGGGTTGCAGTGAGCCAAAATCATGCCGCTGCACTGCAGCCTGGTGACATAGCAAGACTCCGTTAAAAAAAAAAAAAAAGCTGTATCTACCATTAGAAACCAGTTTTTCTTTCATTTCCTTCTTGATCATTGAGCTGAGATGTTTTAGAAGGTATCCTTTATAAACTAAGATAACTTAGAACCAGCATCCACCTGTTAAGAGGATATAAATGCTCTTTGGTTCCACACATGGTGCCATCTGGTCGTTCTATACACAAACCATGCCTCTTGGTCTGGCTTCTATTTATAAACCTTGGCATATGAGAAATACAGAACTGTGGTTCCAGGTCTGGCTCTCCTAGTGTTTAGAAAACACATTTCAATACCTCCACACCCTGGCAGAAGCCCAGGCCTCACCGCGCATTCAGAATTTGAGGGAAAGGGTTTGCCTTGAAAAACCTCTAGTGAGGCAATCTTTGTTGTGATGTGATCTGACTCTTTTGTAGAGCTCCTTACTCCCTAACAGCATCCACTAAAGAGGTGCAGGGAATAAATATCTCAGAGGAACACTTACGTCGTCAGTATATCCCTTCACGTCAAGGAGAGCCACTGTTTCATTGTGTGTCAAATTCAAAGTCCGTCGGTAACACTGTACTTTGTGAATCAGAAAGATCCGTCATCAGTCTCCATTACCAAAGCAGTAAGATTCCCTTAGCAACTCCTTTCATCCATATATAGAGCGTACAACTCAAGCTCTCAAAAGTATCTTAGCAATTTTTTAGTACCACAGGGTGGATTGAGCTGGGGACTGCAGACATGAGTCATGAATGATGTTATTCTGAAGTCTTCCTGTGTAGCTTCAGAATAATATCATTCATGACTCATTCTCTACCATTTTTCTTTTTATATCAGAGGAGAATAAAAATGTGATGCTAAGACAAATGATCAGGAGGCCCTGTGTATATTATTATTTCTTACTTGGGTAGCTGCAAAGATTGAGATCTTAGTGTTGATTTAACTAAGATCTTTCCTCCTCCTCCTCCTTCCTGCCTTCTTCTACACTGTCATCTTACCAGTGGCTCATGTCAAACAAGTCAGAACCTGCCAATGAATCTAGTTCATTAGCCCACATTGTGTTAGCTCACAGCAATGCAAAATAGCACCGTTAACTCAAAGCAATTAAGAAGATTGGGTCACATTGTCATTAAGTGTGTCAGGGAAAAATTCAGTCAAGAAATAAATTTTGAGTATCATCTTGCATGTGCAGTGATATAGTTTGGATATTTGTCCCCGACCAACCTCATGTTGAAATGTAATCCCCAACATGGGAGGTGGGGCCTGGTGGGAGGTGTCTGGGTCATGAGGATGAATTGTGACCCAGCAGGCACCAAGTGACACAGCTGCTCCTGCTTTGCCTTCCACCATGGGAAAAGCTCCCTGAGACATCCCCAGAAGTCAGGCAGATGCCGACACCAAGCTTGTACAGCCCACAGAATAGAGAACCAATTAAAGCTTTATTTTTTATAAATAACCTAGTCTCAGGTATTTCTTTATAGCAAAGCAAGAACATACAGAATGTACATGAAAGTGGTAAAAACTCTTTGACCTAGAGATGTGTTCATCAACTGTAACTGAGCAGATTATTTACATTAAATAAGTAGCTAAAAAAGAAATCCCATCCAACTAGATAACAGCCTAACAACAAAACTGTATTAGGACAATGGCGATGTTTTATTCATCCTGGCAGATTCCATTATGCTCACCACAGATAGCACCTATTATCTACCTATTGAATAAACACAGTACCAATCATTGGCAGAGAAGCTGAGACTGAACAATGTGACCAGTGTTATTCAGCACTGTGTAGTGGGAAGGAAATACATATTTAGTAGTCAGAAGATGTGTTACTAGACATTGGACAGGTGATTTTAGCTCTCCTGAGCCTCACTTTCCAGATTTGTAAAATGAGTTCTCAGAGAACTATTGTGAAGATCAGCAAGCAAACGTGTGCAAGTTCACTGTGAATGGAGATGAAAGCATAATATTATGAGCACCATTATTAGTTTTGTATGAATATTGGCCATCTTGTGACGGGAGTGACTATGTCCGAAGAATCTATTGCTTTCTCTCCTAAGGTTTAGGGGAAGTTCTTGCAGTTCTCAAATGTTTTGTCTTTTAAATACAAAAAACAAATTCATCAGGAAATGTGAAGGCGACTAGAGGTTCCAGTTCTTACACAGTATCTGATTTCTAGGCAGGAACAACAGCCATTTGGGCATTCAGGCACCGGAGAAGTTAACGCCTTTTGTTTCTTTTACATCGAGACTGAAGATAAGAGAGATACGTTTCCTGGAGTCACACAGATACTTGGAGGTCCAAGAATGAAAACAGGAGGTGGGCCATACACTGACATGTTAATTGAACAGTTCTGCTCTTTCAAAAAATTAGCAAGTAAATAATATTCTGGAATTGCTGTGAAATGCTTCTAATTGAGATTTTATCCAAGTGGTACACAGTATTTCTCAATGTGTTTTTAAACACCAAAATATTAAAATCCAAACTAGAACATCCAAACTATTTTATTTTGAAGGTTGGGCTTACTGCTCCTAAGAATCAGTTCTTCTGCGGACTAGTAAACTTGTTTTTCTGTTTATAGCAACCAGAACATTTAAGGGCCTGGGTGATATACTACAAAGAGCAGTATCATGGGGGAATCTTTTTGCTAAATATTAGTCTCTATGATTTAAAAAACATAGCTCTGAGAAGTCTCGTGTTTGGTTCACTTTTACAGAGTTTGTGACAACATGGGAGAAGTTCTACCTGGTAATGACAATGGTGGCTGTCACTGAATGACAGTCAAAGTGATGATTCTGAACTTTGATGTTCTACGTATACCTGACATAGGACCACTGATGTGCTGGAGCAATGAGAGGTGAGTGTGCACATTTCTTCCTAACTCTGCTTTTGGTGACATCATTTTGGTGGCTTGCAGTCAGCCATAGCAAGAGCATTTACATCATAGAAACTGGCAAATGCTACACATTAGATACCTGTGCACATGACCACCCCCAACTCTTGCCTGCCTGAAAAACCAGATGTTAAATATTGACTGGCACACCACTGCATCAGACTAAAATTTTTTTTTATTTTGAGACAGAGTCTGACTCTGTCACCCAGGCTGCAGTGGCACAATCTCAACTCACTGCAACCTCTGCCTCCAGATTCAAGAGGTTCTCCTGCCTCAGCCTCCTGAGTAGCTGGGGACTATAGGCGCATGCCACCATGCCTGGCTAGTTTTTGTATTTTTTTTTTAGTAGAGACGGGGTTTTGCCATCCCGTTGGTCAGGCTGGTCTCAAACTCCTGGCCTCAAGAGATCCACCCGCCTCAACCTTCTAAGTGCTGGAATTACAGGTGTGAGCTTCTGTGCCTGGCCCAGACTAAACTTCTTGACTGCTATTCTTACTGATGTTGAATCCATGATTCTTAAGTACAAGAGGGTACAGTTGTTAACAGGTTGTTTGAAGTCTTAAAATTTTAATCTAAAATACCACTAATATCTTCCTGGATCTGTATCAGCAGCAGTACTTCAATCTTAGGAATCCTAGATCCCTGGAATCCCAGCCTTCAGTGTAATGTATCTGGTGCCGGTCTAATGCCCTAAGGTTCTCAGTCTCTACGACAGCTTGACTTCTGGAAATCAAAGGCTGTTCTATAAAAAACAGACAATTTGATTAAAAAACATTCTACTGATGCCAAATGTTTGTTTGAAAATTCTCTCCAGGAGAAGGCTCTTCCAGAAACTGTATACAGATCAGAGATGCCAGTGAGAATCAGACTCATTTCAAAATTGTGTCAACTGACAAAGCTAAAAATGAAGACTCCCTTATTATTCCAAAAGCACTGAGAAAATTTTCAGTTGAATTAGCTAAATGCTGTCATTATGTTGATATATACACATCACTCTCATTGTTGTCATTATGAATTTTTGTGCTTCTATCTTGTTATTTGATGTTTGTATTAAGTATTCTCCAGGTTGGGGATCCTCTTTCTTGTGTAACTCATCACATTACTTACTACAGGGCTACCCATGTCACAGATAGACAATACATGTTGTAGGGAATAGTAATGAGTTTGTAAACGACTTCCACAGAGTAAGATTCACTCAGTAACCCACTTCAATTTACAATATTGTTCCTCATTTCTTGCCCAAATCCCTCACGCTGAAGCTTACATCCACCTATTGTTTGGA